AATTTCCATTGCTAAGTGAGACGCTTGTTTGGTGAGTTTCGCCCCGTTTTACGACCTTTCTTGCCACAGTTCTTAAGTGAATCACTGCACTTGCCCAGTTTGTAATAGGGTTGTGAAGTGAATCCAGCTTCCCTGTTGACTTTCCTTGTCAGAAGGGGATAACAGGACCCCAGACACTGCGACTGACATAAATATGAACCTGTTGCCAAGCACCTGGATCACGTGACCACGGGGATGCTTTCAGAAGCGGGAAAAACGGTCATAAGTCCCTTTTTCCAGTGCCGCTGTAACTCTGAAATGCTCGCTAAACAAACTGCTGTAGGTCTAGGACGACCTGTACTGCAACCCGCTCTACGTGGGGCTACCCTTGAAGAGTGTTTGGCAGCTACAACCCGGTAGCTCCGGTGTAGAGGGTCCTCCGGTGGCATCGTAGGGCACCACTAATGCCCCAGCGGCTCCAGTTGCCACTTTGCTTTGGGCTCCAGTTCAAGGCGTTGATGACATCAGGCACGGATGTAATCCTACAGATGATTACTTTTAAAGCCCTGTCTGACCTACGTAGGTCCAGGGTATCTGAGGAACCGTCTCACCCCCATGAGATTAGCCCACCCCACTCATCCCAGCAGAAAAACATGACCTTGGATCCCATCGGCCAAAGAATTTCATTTGGCAGAGTCCGGGAAAAGAGCCTTTGCTCTGCTGTGGCCCCTGCCCTGAGGAACATCCTCCCACCAGAGGTGAAGTTGGTCCCAACCCTTTTGTCTTCCTGGGAGAGCCCGACAATCTGGCTTGGGACCAGGATGGGGGATGCTCCAGACTGGGGTTGGCTGATGGGGGAGAGAGAAGAACCGCGACCCCCAGGTCTCCTGTCCTGCGGGTTTTTAGTCTTTAGTCTTCCTTAATTTTTATGTTTTGATCATTTTGTAAGCCTCTCAGAGTTGCTGTATCTCTGAGATCTTCATTGGCATCCTTCAGTCTCAAGAGACTCTGGTATCGTGCTCTGGAAAGAGGTCCTAAAACAGCATCTGGTGTGACAATTGGAGAGTGGCTATCAATCCCTTCCACCCTGAGGGCACATAAATTCTGTCCCCTGCCCAGCCCCCCGATTTCGCTGGTTCTGGGACTGCCTCTTTGCCTCAGCCTGCCAAACAAGTGTCTCTTCGAATTGGAGAATGAGATGGACAGCATATAAACTGAATGAATGAATGAATGAATGAATGAATGAATGAATGAATGAATGACACTATATTAAGTGGGAGCCAAATGTCTACTGGTAGAATAGTTACCTTGTACTACGCCAATTTCTTTCAGTGAGCAGCTTATGTCTTCAGATGTGAACTTGGTTGTCCATGTTCTGCTTGATCTGTGCACCATGTCTGGGCAGGTTTCTGGGACCTTGGAGGCCTGCAGGAAACCCTATAATATAGGGTTAGGGTTAGGGCCTATACCATTTCAGACAAATGGTTGTCCAGTCTCTTCTTAAAAGCTTCCAGTGTTGGAGCATTCACAACTTCTGGAGGCAAGTTGTTCCACTGATTCATTGTTCTAACTGTCAGGAAATTTCTTCTTACGTCTAGGTTGCTTCTCTCTGGGGGCTTTGAGAAGTTTCTTGTCGAAGCCCCAAGGCAGGTCCTTCCTCTCTGGCGTCATCCATGGGTTCCCCTGTGGCTCAACATCCATACAGATTCTCTCCTGTCAGGGCCAACTCATCAATATAACTCAGTAATGGAAAGGAAGAAAAGAAAAAGGAAGAAGTTGAACAGAAAGCTACATGTGCAAGAAAGGGGGAGGGAAATAGAAAAGAAAGAAAAAGGTTGCAAAGAGGTAACTTCTTGTTGACAGGAGTTTTAAGCACTATTACAAAAAAATCACCTCTTATTCAATGGTTGCAACATATTTTTTTCTATAGTCTATTTAATTATAAAACTCTAAATCCTAAATTCATTTTTTTCCTATTTCTCGCAAAAGTCCATAAGGTGCAGTTAGCAATAAATGTAGATATTGCCTTTTCTTTGATCAAAGAAGTCAGTCTCTTCATCTTAGCAAATTCCATCATCTTCACTAACCATCCCTCCATTGAGAATAATGCCAAAACTTTCCAAATTTTGTGCATGCAACGATATCACTGCGTTTATCATGTACAAAAACCAATTTTCTGTAACTTTTCTCCAACTGTTTGTACATCAAACCTCTGGTCTCAGTTGCTAATTAATCTTTAAAATCCTCTGAATCGGTGCATGTATTTGAATCCAAATTTTTCTCCTTTTTTCATGCATCTACAACATTCCAACATGAATTTTATGCGTGTTTATGCATTCTAGACAATTCCTCTGATGACATATATCAATAGTAGGTCATTTTATTTAAAATCATTTTAATACAGTGTAAATTTCAATCCTCAACCCACCTATTTTCTCATTGGTCCATCTGTATATTATAACCAAAATCTTCATTCCTATCTACTTCCACTTGTTTTTCTTCTGTTTCAAATTTCAGTAAAAGTTTATAAGTTTTAGTCATTCGGCGTTCATCATTTGTAAACAATTCTATTTCAAATTCAGTGTTTCAGTGTTCAAAACCATAAATTGTTTTGTCTAGCTTAAATCCTTCTAATAATTGCAAAGGAATAACCGCTGACAACCATATTCCTCTACCACCAGTTCTTCTCTTGATTTTATTTTACATTAATTTGACAAAATTCTAGTATCTTATGATGAGTTAGATATTTTTATTTGCCTCTTATTTCTCCTCTGCAAAATTTTTCTTGATTGGAGAGCCACATGGGTGTTTTGGGGCACAACCCCATTCTCAACGTGCACATCTTAACACAAACAATTTTTAAAATCCACATGATTTTATTGTTCCACAAATATCCATGCCGCCCAAATTTCAGGATGTGTCCTTCTAACTCCCAAAGTTTTCTGTTTCTCAGCAACAACATTCCCTCGTCCATCCAAACCAAACAGCAAGCTTGCAAAACCAATTTCAGGTCAGGTAGACCCATTCCTCCATTTTCCTTTGCATTTTGTAACACTTTATATTTAACTCACAGGTTTTTTCCCCACCCCTTCTATACAAATTTAGCTATATCCTTCCGCCTCTATTTAAATGGTGCATCGGTTGTCAAAACAGGCTTTGACTGAAACAAAACATCATTTCAGGCAAGACACTCATTTTTATCACAGAAATTCTCCTCGGCAATGACAGTTGTAATTTCTCCCTTCTTAACAGACCTTTTTTAAACTTCATTCCGTGTCTTAACATGCTTATTTTGGAGTAACATACAATTCATATTTGTCAAAGCAGTACCCAGATATTTTACCTTCTTCTCAGTCTCAAAACCTGTTTCATTCATCAATTCTGTTTAATCTTCTATTTTCACATTTTTTGTTAACATCTCTGTCTTCAATTAATCTTGAAACCTGCTAATGCATCAAATTCTTTTAGTTTGTCCATTAATATTTCAATGTTGATCTTTAAAGGATCATCTGCAAAAGCCCTTAGTTTATAAGTTTCTTTTTAAATCTTTAGTTCCATGTTTCCCTCCTCCTGTCGTCTATCTTGAGCCAGTATTTTCAAGAACCAGAATTAACAAGAGAGGAGGCAGCACCCATTCGGGTGTTGTTCCTTTTTGTATCTCATAGGGTTTTGTTAGACCTCCATTAACAATTATTTGGGCTTTCTATGAAGTGTAAATCCATCCTCCCTCTCCTCTTCCTCAGATTCTTTCATTCCTACCCTCTGATCTCTCACTCACACACTCTGCCAATGGTTCATCCAAGCCAGGGGTGTCAAAAGCAGCCAAGTTCTGGCTAGAAGCGTGTAACCCAAGGCCTGCCCTTTTGGGAAGGAGGGTTTCGGTCAAAGAGGGTCTTCTGAGTTGGGTTAAGAGGAAGAAGAAGAATGTGGAGCAGGGACTGTTTATTGGAAGAAGACCTTCCCACTGTGGCTGTCCAAGTGAGCCTCGGGGCTTGGAGCCAGATTCTCCAACTCCAGGGTGGGCAGCTGGCTGCGTTCAGCTCCTGCTCAGCTTCTCCCTGGGAACATCTGGCCTGAGCATAAACAGAGCAGATAAAGCATCATGTGGAGCAGCCACCTCTCGGCATGAAAAATCAGCCGGACAATTGCGCAATATCTACGGGCTTCCAGGTGGACGGAATGCTCAAAAGACACCTTCCACAAACAATACTGACCTTTGCCAGATGTTGCTCAGAGGTCCACATCCCTCGCTGGATCCCACTTCAAAGGCTCCTGCTTGACCTTAACATCAGGCAAGGCGAGAAGAGGCCCGGCACATTCCTTCAGGCAGGAATTCACCGAAGGGCTCCACACAGCTGTTCCTCGCTCCCTGCGTGCCATGCCGGGCACAGCTGCTTTTCCCAATTCCTGCAATTTGGCTTCCTGCCCTCAAAAATGGCCATTGCAAACCGACTGCACGGGATTGAGCATCCACGAAGGACTCACGGTGAACTTTGGGTCCCTGAAGGAAGAGTGGTGAAGGCCAGGGGGTCCTGTTTTGCTGGTGGAAACTGAAGACCCCTGTCTGTTCCCCCTTACCTTGCAAAGATCTATTGTCCCAGAGGGGCATTACCTGAGCCACACCTGTGTCCAGAATGGGACAACTCACTGCAGCCAACAAGGCCACCACAATCAACTCGCTATGGGCAATGTGCTGTGAGACAAGTCATTGCAGGACAATTCAACAATTCGATTTAATTATTTAAAACAGAGCTGTCAAACTGGATTTCTTCGAAGGCCGGATCACCATTGTAGTTCTCCTCTGAGGGCCGACCGGGGGAGGGGAGAGACGGCTTGGATGGCCTCCTGCAGCACCTGCCAGCCAAAATGTGTGTGCGCCCCCCCCTGCACCCCATTTTTGCTATCAGAGGCACCACGGGCTGGGTCTTTGCTATTTCCAGGTCGGCTCCACGGGCCAGATTTAAGCACTCTGTGGGCCAGATCCAGCCAGCGGGCCTTGAATTTGACAATCCTAATTTAAAATGATTTCAAAGATATTTTAATTTTTGTCCTTCACATTTTATGTTGTCCCTCTTTGGTCATCCTTCCTTTAATGATTCTGTTCCGCTATTTCTTCGATATTAGTGTAACTCTTGACCCGCAGCGGGTTTTCCCCGTGGTGAATTGTCCGCAGCAAGTCGGCAGTGGTGCCTTGGGAGGGGGGGAGTTGTCCCAGACCCTCCGCGGCCTCCCTTGACAGGCGGATGAGTGGCCGGCCTCTGCGCAACGGAATGCTCTCTTTGCAGCCTCAGCTGGTTTTCTGAGAACGCCCCATACTCTGAATTGTCAGCGTATCCAGCCAGTAGGAGTTGTTCCTGAACTGAACCACAAAGAAATGTACGCCAGTTAATAGTGAGGAAGCTTAGCTTTGCATGGTGGTTGTGAGAATATCCGCTGGGGTTTTCCCTAACTTGTGGAAGAAGAAAGCGTGTGTGTGGGAGGGGAGGGGAGGGGAGGGGGAGAGAGGGTTATATCCAGACAATCTCTAGGGCAGGAACTGGCGAGGGCAGCAGAGGGCCCATTCCCCTCTGAGATATAGTATAGTATGGTATAGCATGGTATAGGGCAGGAGTCTCCAAACCTGGCAACTTTAAGACATGCTGGCTGAGGAATTCTGGGAGTTGAAGTCCACAAGTCTTAAAGTCACCAAGTTTGGAAACCCCTGGTATGGGGCCTCCTTGCTTGAGAAGAGGGGGTTGGACTAGAAGACCTCCAAGGTCCCTTCCAACTCTGCAATTCTGCAATTTTGCCCTTCTGTAGATGGGCACCCTTTGGTGATTGTCCCCAGGGCCTCCTTCACAGGAAACAGATCTAAATCTGAAGCCCCAGAGATCAGCTGCTCCTTTTTCCTCTTTGAGTTTGAGGAAAACAGAAAGGCAGGGACGATTGATTTCTTAACAAACTCAAAACTTAACGTTACTGCTCTAATGACATGTAATGCATAATGTATCACTCGATTAGCATAGAACATTACTTTGTTTGGCTTATCTATAAAACATGCCGCCTGGTCTTATGTACTCCCATATTTTCTCTGGCAGCGTGCGACAGGAAAAGCCCTTCCCAGGCAGGTGGGCACCACAGAAGCCCGTGCCGTTTCCCTCGGCTTGCCAGGCGCCAGCGAAAAGCGTAGAGAAGCGTGCCGTCTTGCCATCCTCTGCTGGCTCCCTTGAGCTCAATGGGGCTTCCTTCTGGGTCTCCTCCAGACAGGGGGCTCCACACATGGCTGAACCTTTGGGGGGTCTAAACATAGAAAAACAGAGTTGGAAGGGACCTCAGAGGTCTTCCAGTCCAACCCCCTGCTCCAGGAGGAGATCTTGTACCATGTCAGACAAATGACGGTCCAGTCTCTTTTTGAAAGCCCCCCGTGATGGAGCCCCCACAGCTTCTGTTCCATCGGTTGATTGCTAATATTGATTCTATTTATGACTGCCTTATACAAGTAGTCCTCGACTTACGACCAACAATTTAGCCCCAAATTTCTGTTGCTAAACGAGACATTTATTACATGAAGTTTTTCTGCCATTTTACGACCTTTCTTGCCACCGTTGTTAACTGAATCACTGCCGTTGTTAAGTGAGTAACCCAGTTGTTAAGTGAATCCGGCTTCCCCGTTGACTTTGCTTGTCACAGCAGGGGATCACGTGACCCCTGGACACTGCCACCGTCATCAACGTGAGTCAGTTGCCAAGCCTCCAAATTTAAATCGCGGCCTCCTCTTTCCCAGGAGGGGTCAGGACTTTTAAGTGGGGGCCTTCACGGGAAAGCCCTGAGGGGGCTTTGATTGCTCCCACGGTCCTAACGTTAACCTAGATGGGGCTGCTCTTCTTCAAAGTCAGGACTCGGGCTTAGAGCAGCCTCTGGGCGACCCTGGGGGACTCAAGAGCCTGCAGGTTCGCTTTCCTCCTCGGTGCCTAACTGGGGCTGGGGAGAGAAGCGCAGGGTCTACTTGGGAAGTTGGGGTGCCCCCCAGAAGCCCCTTTCAGAGGAAGACCTTGGCAAGGACGGAGGGGAGGGGGGGTCTCACCCCTTTTAGAGGGCGGAGCTGGCCTCCCTCCAGGCAGCCAGGCAGGTGCCCCAAAAATGCCCGAGATCAGGAGGTGCTCCTCTTCCCAGTGAATCGTGGCCATTTCTCACGGGGTGGGCCAGGAGGGAAGAGAGGTGTCCTCGGGCATCTGAATCCCTCCACGGGACGATGACACGTTTCCTGTGTCTGCCAGCCTTGGGGGCGACATCCTGACGTGCCCTGGTCCCTCTTGCCTGGGAGGGGGGTCTCTGCTGCTGAGCAATGCTGCCCGGGTTCCTATGGTTACTCAGGTTTGCATATTCACCGGGGTTCCTATGGTGACAGCTGCAGCTTTGCCTTCACTCTTCTTCCCTGCACGGGAAATCTGGCTTCCCCCCACCATGGCCCCCAAATCTCCAGCTCCCAAGCAGAGGGCTTCAGCTGCTAGGCTACAGAACCAGGGGGCACAAGTGGGGGGAGGGAGAGAGAGGGGGGGAGAAAGGAAAAAAGAGAAAGAGAAAAAGGGGAAAGGAGAGAAAGAGACAAAGTGAAATAGAAAAAGGAGAAAAGAGACAGAGAGAAGAAAAGAGAGAGAAAGAGGAAAAGAGGAAAAAGAGAAAGAGAAAAAGGATAAGGAAGAAAGAGGGGAAAGGAGAGAGAGAGATGGGGGGGGGGCTTCCGGGCACCTGCTGCAGATGGTCACACTGGCAAGCTCCCAATGTTGCCCTTCCCAAAGCGGAGGGTGCTTTGCCTTCGGTAGAGTCGGGCTGAGGCCCAGGGGTCTCAGTCCCTGTCAGGTGCGAACAGCCAGACCCAGACGGGTGGGGTGTCAACTAGCTACTTTCCTGCTCAAGCCTCTTTGACAGGAATCTTCCCATTCCAGGGGGTTGGACTCGCTCTCTTGGGGCTTCCAAACGCTCCCGGGCTGGTCGCCCCTTTGACCCCCCTCGCCTGAGCCTCTCTCTGGCGGCTTCTTTCCTCAGGAGGCTTTCTCCGCATCAAGCATCTGCTCCGCACCAGCAGCTCAGCCGGACTTTGCGGAAAAGAGGGTGAGAGGGTGCAGCCCACACCCAGAGCTCCCATTGGAAAGGCAAGAAGGAAGCCTGGTGCGGACGATGGGAGGCTGACCTGAACGTGTGGGCTGCAGCTGGGACTGACGGCCTGCCAGGCCTATAGGCAGAAGAGGGGATATTGGTCCAATGTCCCCTGGAGCATAAGGGGAGAGGTTCAGAGGAGGACAGGGGAAGATGGGCTTCACTCTCAGGATGGCCAATCCGGATGGACAGAGCAAGAGCACTTCATCCATGGTGCCCCAGAGAGACGGAGACTGTTTGGCCACCCTCCGGGAGCCTTCCGCTCGGATGCCTGCCCTGAGCAGGGGTGGACATATTCCAATATCTCAGGGGCTGCCCCAAAGAAGAGGGGGTCAGCCTATCCTCCAAAGCACCTGGAGGAAAGAGCCTGTAGTACAGTGGACTAAAGCACTGTGATTAACAACTGCTGCTTGCAATTACTGCAAGTTCAAATCTCACCAGGCTCAAGGTTGACTCAGCCTTCCATCCTTTCAAAGGTAGGTGAAATGAGGATCCGGATTGTGGGGGCAATAAGCTGACTTTGTATAGATATACAAAAGTATGAAGGCTATTGCTGAGCACATTGTAAGCCGCCCTGAGTCTCCAGAGAAGGGCGGCATATAAATTAAAGCAAAAAAAAAAAAAAAAGAAGACAGGACAAGAAACAACAGATGGGAACTAATCAAGCAGAGAAGCAACCTGGAATTGAGGAGAAGCCTCCTAACAGGGAGGACAGTTAACCAGTGGAACAGCTTGCCACCAGAAATCGTGGGAGCTCCATCACTAGAGGTTTTCAAGAAGAGACTGGACAGTCACTTGTCTGAAAATGTATGGGATCGTCTGCTTGAGCAGGGGGTTGGACTGGAAGACCTCAAGGTCCCTTCCGGCTCTATTCTGCTTCTGACAGTGTGGCCTCACGGGGCCTTCCCAGGGCACAGATTCTGCCAAAGAAAGCCACTCTAGGCGATGGGCCCCGCCTGCCAAAGAATTCCTCCATTTCTTCTGCATGCGCCTGGAGAGAATACAGCTGGGCTCCTGAAGGAGGAGGCAGAGAAACTGGAGCAGAGGCTCAGGACCGGCAGCCGTGGGCCACAGCTGGGTTGTCATAGACTCCAAGGCTGGGAGGGAGGCCAAGGGCAGCTGCCACACCCTGTCTGCATCGAAGCCTGCCATGGATGAGGCCGTCTTGCCTCCAGCTCCCAAGGGAAGCCGTGGGAATCCCTTGTCCCGAAGGAGGCCTTTCCCATCCCCAAGGGAAAGGGGCAAGAAGAGGGCTTTGGCCAGGAGGGTCTGGGCTCAGAGGCATCCACAGTGGGACAATTCGGGGGGTTGCCGCTCACAGAGCCGACTTCGCCCGACAACCTAGTCTGGGCTCCAACGGATGGGCTGTTTTGTCTCCTGCCATGTGTGGGAACCCAGCCATCGTCTCGGTGTGCAGTGCCAGCTCTGGCGTCATCTGGTTTATTCCCAGGAACACCGTGTGCCACGGGAGCACAGCAATTAGGAAACTGGGGTTAGGAGTGTGGTTGGATTTGGAAGGCCCCCGTGCCTGTTGGGAAAGGGTGTTGGTGGGATGGGATGTTCCTTCTATGCACCCAAAAGTCTGAAATGAGCCTGAAAGTCTGCGAAGAAAATGACGAGTTTGCAGCTGGGAGAAAGAAGCATCATGGGAGTTGAAGTCTCCGCCTTCCAAAGGGCACCTGGGTCAGGTTTATCCTGGACCCCGCACCCCCCTTTGGCACCAGATGGGCTCTACCGGCTGCAGGAGAACCCAGGATCTCGGGGGTCACATGGTGGCACGAAGCCTTCCCTGATCGCTGGCCTGTTCAGAAGCAGGAGGAGGCCGGCCTTTCCCTCCACCCCCCCATCAAGATTTCTTCCCTCTGGCTGGGCTTTCCTTGCGTCAGGAGTTTGTGCTGAGTTGCAAACACAGCTAGTCCTCGGTTTACGAGCACAATTGTTAAAGACCTCAAGAACCTGCCCTTTTCAAGGGAGGTGGCCCACCTGTGGCATGATAGCAGTCTTCCAATATTTGAGGGGCTGCCACAGAGAAGAAGGCATTGAGTTAGTCTCCAAGGCCCCTGAAGGCAGGGGAAGAAGCCATGGGTGGAAACTAAGCAAGGAGTGAAGCAACCTGAAACTAAGGAGGAATTTCCTGACAGTGGGAACAATTAACCAGTGGAACGGCTTGCCACCAGAAGTTGTGGGTGCTCCATCACTGGAGGATTTGAAGAAGAGATGAGACAACCATTTGTCTGAAACGGTACAGGGTTTCCTGCCAGAGCAGGGGGTTGGATCAGAAGACCTCCAAGGTCCCTTCCAGCTCTTATTCTGCTCTGTTCCAAATTTGGCAAACTTGGCTTCCATTGAGTCCAGCTGGTTGTGGAAGCTCAACAGAGTCAGGTGTTCCTTGTCGTGGGGTGGGAGATCCCCACCACTCTGGAAGCCGAGGGGTTTCTGTGAGGAACCCCTCCAGCTTCTTCTCCCTCCCTTGAGAGCGGACTCTTCCAGGGGGGCTTTTCTGGCTTCTCCTGAAACTGGCAATGCACAGCCCCTTCCCCACAATAGAGGGGGGGATCTGGGTGCCGGGTAGGCGGTCAGGGGGCTTGGCTGCTAGAGGGACGGCTGAGCCCTTCGCTCCAAGGGCTGGTTGGGAGAGAGAAGAAGCCGGCATAAAGAGGGCAACCAGCTCTCGGCTTTCCTTCCCTCGTATGGTGACACAGCCCCCACTTTCCCACCCACCCCTGCACCCCGTTGGAGTCTGTCAGCAGAAGAGGGCCTGCAGCCCTCAAGGCAAAGTGAAGAGGAAGGAAGTGGTGGCTTTTTTGCTTTCAATGGGCTCCCTCTGGGTCTGCCCTGAAAGCCGAGAAATGGAGCGTTGGCTGCCCGTCCCACAGGCGAGGGGAGGGGGCTCCCCCTGGTGGGGTGTCTGCACAGTGGCCAACGGAGAGAAGCGGAACTGGTAACCCGAGGAGCATGTTGGGTGGAAACTGGTTGGCTGCGACAACCTTGGGACAAAACCTTCACCCAGGAAGCTGGTGGACTTGCATGTTTGACAGCGTCTCCCGCCTGGGGGCCTGGAGGATGGGGAAATCGGGCAAGGGGGTGCTGCCCCTCCTGTGAGAAAGGAGGATTTACCCTAGGAAAGAAGGCGACTTAAGCGCCCTCCAGCCCAGATACAGGCAGGCTCTCTCTCTCTCTCTCTCTCTCTCTCTCTCTCTTTCCCTTTCTCCTTCTCCTTCTTCCACCTCCTCCTCCTCCTCCTCCCCTCCCTCCTGTCTATTTGCAAAGTCTGGCGGTGTGTTTCAATCTTCTCTCTGGGGTCCTTGGTTCTCTCTTGAGTTTGGTTGTTTTCTTGCAGACGTTTCATGACCCGAACTAGGTAACATCATCAGTGCTAGAAGGGGAGGGGTATTTAAACAGAAAGCAAGTCCCCCTCCTTTCTAGCACTGATGCGGTTACCTAGCTGGGTCATGAAACACCTGCAAGAAAATCACCAAGCTCAGAGAGCACCAAGAACAGGATGTGCAAGTTCAGAAGAACCTCCAAATTGTGCACCAGCTCTGTTTGGGAAAGTACAACCCCATCAAGAGTCCAAGATGGCACCTTACCAGGCTCTGGGGGGCAAAGGTCCAAAGCCCCTCCGACTTGCAGCCTGTTCCTCCCCACAGCCTCCAGGACTGGACCAGCACTGAAGAGCCTGGCATGGAGATCTAGAAATGGATAATCCCGCAGCCTCTGCCATCAGAGGAGCTCAGCCAGTGGCTTCCGGGAGATGTAGCAGTCCCAAGCGCTGAGCAGCCCACCTCACAGGGGCCTAATGCTAGACCTCCCCTGCCCCACCTGCAGCCACCGGCCACCGAGGAAGCAGGAGAACCACCACAAGAGAGCGTCTGTGGAGCTTCTCAGTCCTCCAGGTCATGATTGTCCCAACGGTGCTTTTTCAAGAGGCATCTGGACTTCCTGGTTTTTCTTTGAAGATGTCCAGTCAGAGCTGAAGAAGCTTCTTGGATGAGAAGCAAAACGCCTTCAAAGAAAAACCAGAAAGTCCAGTTGCCTCTTGAAAAAGCACCTTTGGGACACCACAAGAGAGTGCCTCCTGCCCCACGCCCTGAAGCCAGCCAGAAGGGTATCATGGTTGATAGTATGGAAAGCCACCGAGAGATCCAGTCCCACCACCTCTGTCTTC